TAAATTGAGCGCAATGAGACACCATGGGATAGTCGGGTAAGGAAGAAAAGCACCCTTAGAGATGCCACAAGCTCGCGTGGCGAGCAAGCGAGCCGTGTGTCGCATGTCGGCAAGAACGAACGGGTATTTAAAGCGCATCTCTGTCGCGCCGTCGTCGTTGTTGGCGACAGAATGCTTCTCTTTGAAGATTCATCGTCGATCGCCCTAGTTCCACATCGGCGAGCGAACCGACTCGTTTCAAGGTCGATGTCTTTCGTCCCCTTGCATTATTCTTGCATCCCTCACGGTTCTTTTTTTCCGCAACATCTCCATTTTCTATTCCACTCCTTCGGCTCCCCTTTTTACCTTGTTGTTAATCTCACGTATCCTTCCTCCATTGACATTTTTTCCTGTTTATCTTACAATACTCTTTACGGCGCAATATCATGTAAACAGGAAAGATCCGTGACAAAATGCGAGAATGTACTCTTAATCTTGAATCGGAAAATATGAGAGCTAGCTAAATGTGTATCGTAAAAATTAACACTTATTTTTACTACGAAATGTTTCTTCTTTCGTCAAATTAATTCTATTTTTTAATGTTTATGATTTATTATACAAATTCCATTATTTTTTGCTTCTCTTTTTATACAAAGATTTTCGTTTCTTGTGACAAAGTACTGTGTACTTAAACAGGTAAAGTTCATGAAAAATTCAAATCTTTTCTTTAATAAAGAAAGGGCTAATGGCTTAAAAGTAAACGACGCGTATCTTGTATCTCGTCTTGCATAGTTTATTTCTTACCTTACGTTCGCTCTTGCTTCTTCGCTATCTTTGTAGAGAAAGCTTTATATGTTAATCCACGAAGAGATGCAGAGACCGTCGTAACATGTTCATCGTGCGATTTTAGAAATTTAAATCTCAGCTCATTTCTGATGGGAGGGGAACTTTCATCGTTATTTTTAGCGTAGAATAATATTCGCACGCACACTTGATATCGAAGAATAGCGTCTTTATAAATTGATTTTGCTATATGAAATAGCATTTGTGGAATTATTCGGAACATTTTTTTAACGCGAATTACATTAACGTGATAGTTATATTTAAATAAAGATTACTATTTATAAAAATTGTATATGGCGATTATTACAAGATATACTTTCCTTGAAAAGTGAATTTGTTAAGATCTTAACTAAATTATTTCGCAAATGGAATAAACAGTTTTGGAAAATTACATCGACGATAATATGAGAATCGAATGAAGTTAAATAGGTTTTCGATCTGACAGAATACGCTGTTACAGAATAATGAATCTATTCTTCGTAGTTTAATTTCCGCTTCCTGAGTCTCTCATAGCTAAGTGTGAAACGAAAATTGCATTGCGTTGCATCACAGGAGTGAAATCGTTTAACGCAATTTCATATCGCATTGCATTCGATGCTTACATATTCTTTACACACTCGTACTGTATCTGCAGTTTACAGAGAGTTACCGAGAATTTCTTTATCCAGCATCTCACTACCTTATTGTCACTTTCCTTCGTAGCGCGATCGGGACATAATGTACGATCATTGTTTTGCATCTCCCGACAAGATGCGACCCTGTGTATTGCTTGTGAACTTTTGTCAATTATGTACCATTAATGTCGCGCATTACTGCCAGAGAGAATCGCGTCGCAGTTGCTCGTTTTAGTAAACTACAACCATGCCCGGACTTCTCCGCCAAGACGATCACTAGCCAAGCACGATAAAATACGGTTGGCGCATTGAATATTAACAAGCTGCAACAGATAATGACCTTTCGTGAAATTTTCTCCGATGTAAAATTAATTCTAATTTTATCGACGATTCTGTTGTTAGAATTCTCGATTAAAATAAAGAGGATATTTTTAAATATATTTTTTAGAAATCATTTGTACGTCGTAATTTACCGTATGCATAATGATGAAGATTTTCTCACTATTACAATTACTTTTCATAGCAGAAAATAAATTCATGTTAATATTAAAATATTTATAAAATATATTGTGTTTATTAAAGTTGAGAGTGTTTTTGTGTTATATACCATTTCATTGATGCTTGCAATATTCGACTGGAAACCGCGATGCTATGCTCTGTACGTAATATTCAAATGTATAATCTGTGATCGTGACCGACATATACAGGTGAAAGGGATGAGCAGCGCAAGAACAAGAGCGTGACGTTAAATAATCGTCGTGCTTCGGCGGTATAATCTCGTAAAGAGCACGTGAGCGGAAAAGCTACCTCGTTTTACGACGAGGGGTTGGAAAAGCGGCAGGGAGTTAGCGTGGCGGGGATTGGTGCACGCAGTAGCTGGTGGCACAATCTCCGGTAATGATTGGTCGTCATGGAAACGAGCCAAGCACCTACCTCGCCCTTTTTCCTCCGGGCAGACCGAGCGGCGTGATCGTCGCAGCGTGCGTCGCGACGCGGAGCGTCGCGTCGTATCGCGTCGCGTCGCGCCGCGTCGCTTCGCCTCGCATCGCCTCGCATCGCTGGCCTGCAACACGGCGCCGACGCCAGTAAGACCAGTATCGGCCTCGAGAGTCTCTGTACCCCGCAGCAAGGTTAATACTTTCGCTACGAAAAGAGATCCACGTGAAATCTGTTGTTTGAAATATTATCTTTGGTCGCAACAAATATTTGTACTTTGATTTTTCTCAATATGTATTATTTTTTAACTAAATTATCTATTTATTGATATTATATTGAAAACATTTAGTTATTAATTTACATAATTACTTCAAAATTATATTCATATAATATATAATTTTATTAGATAAGAAGCATAAGAAATTCTTGCAGTCTCTTATGACTTGACTTTTATGACTTTCTTCCGTGTTGAAACTAATATAACAGCGTACTCATTTGGGTATAAAAAACTGGAGCTCACTTGACCTCAATTTCGAATGCTTAAGAAAGAGGTGACAATAATAATGTAACCGTTAATTATTTATGACAACGTAGAGTTTCTTGATATTGTCAGCTGCTGCCCTTTTCTTCGTGACGACGGATCGCGGTCGTGCTGTTCAATGTTAGTCGTAAGTTCAGTCTTACCGATTCAATGTGAAGTCAATTATAGACGTACCGCTGACAGTTTCTTACCGCCTTTATCTGTATTAAAGAGAACAAATAACAACTGACAATTGCTTGTTGACGTCACGATGAGTTGTAATTATTTCTTTTCTGTCTTCACTTGTTTTCGTCTCTTGATTTCTTTTTAACTCATTTGTGAAAACATACTTTCTTAATCAAGATTCTTTTTAAGCAGATATATATTTTCAATGTTGCTTAATTTAACAATAAAAAATTATTTAAACTTGATTTATATAATATTTTTTATATTTTCCATTAATTTTTCAAAACTGAATTCTCTTTCCGCTTTAAAACGACAGTTGAATAACGCTCTTCGAGTAAATTTCCATCTCGTTTGAACGAAATCTCTTTCACAGCAACAAAACGCGTGGGCGACCACGCGCGACAATGTCGCGGACAATAATAGATTTTTGCATTAATTTCGTATCGATAGACGGAAGCCGTTTGTGAAGAAACGACAATTTAGGTCTCTCGACGAATGTTCGCTCAATGGACAATTTGTAGTCGCTAATCTGTCACCTTAATCAACGGTGCTACAGAACTTTCGGAGAAACTTTAGTAAATCAAAGTTTCCCCAGAGCCATGCACGCGGTTTTTCATGTACAGAGGAAGAACGGTGCAAAGTGCGGAGGTGTATATGAGGTAATCGAGAAGGTTTAGTTCTTGGATAGCTAGAGACGCCACGTCCTCTATATGTGACTATGGATTCTGAGGATGGACTTTACTCGCCTACAGTCTTGGATTGCGATCATAATTGTTGTTTCGTTACAACTCGGTTCTTTGTATGTACTTTGAAAATCGTGTTAATGAATACTTTTAACGTTACCGGCATGTAACTGTGATCGTTTTATTTTTAGCAATGCGAAGGTGTAAAGCGAATCATAGAATCGATTTGCCTAGGCTGTGACGTAATCATTTGAAAATTAAAGGAAAATTAAATCCAGCAACACGCGCGTATACACTTGAGTTCGAAGAATCTCAGTGTTTTATCCTTTCGAAAAATTTGTTACATACATCAATCTTCTACTTTTCAATATAAAAATGTAATTTTTATTATATTCGTAAGAAAAGTATCGAACATAAAATTAAATTTATAAATATTTTCGTCTAATGGAAGCTGCGACAAAAGACACGTAAACAAATGTTTGATATAATGGTGATGATGATATAACTCATTGATTAAAGACAGATTTTGCAATACTTCTGAAATCACATACGCGGTAGGTATGTGATTTCGATGTGGAGTATACGTGGTTAATACGAACGTAATCTAATTTTTCATAAGAGTTTTACATTAGTTAGATCAGTAACTCAGCACGGTTTCATTCATTTTAAAATATTTCACGCAATAATGCTATTGAATATTATTAAATATTTGTCTTACAAATATATAATTACTATCGATAATAGCGAGTAACAATTAATCAATTCAACCAATTATAAATACGGATTGTTGCTTAACGTATTAAATTTTCATAATATTAGCATTATTAATTCTAAATCAGTTTTATTATAAAAAGAGTTAAGTTCAAAGCATTTACAAGGAATTTCAATTAACCTTCTCTTAGTAATGATCAAAGTGCGTTTTATCAAAGTAGGTGTACATATAACTTAGATATATATTTTGTAGTTATATTAACATTCAGGTAATACAACTCATAATTGTCTACTTTAAACTTGTAGGCATTCAGATTTCAGATATTCTATTTTTGTATATTCTATGTAGCAGTTTCGATATATGCAATAAATTATCGAGGACTCGAGTAACTCGTTTGTTATTTATAACATTATGCTTTAATATTTCTACTGTGTACGTCGTTAGACACATTTATTTATATTATCATCTTTCCTAATAACATTTATACCTATTGCAACATAATAACATATTTATTCTCGTGATTTCAGAGGTGCCTTCTCCGTGGTTCGACGATGTGTGCAAAAAAGCACCGGTCACGAGTTTGCTGCAAAAATTATAAACACCAAAAAACTCTCAAATAGAGGTAAGTGATCATCGATATTCGAACGTGTTTCACGCTTGAACCTGAAATATTTTTTCAAGCGAAAAAAAGAAAGATATGCGCTCGTTTAGAATGGCGAGAAAAAACTGTTACTCGCTTTCCTTTGAATATAAATACGTATAACGTATATATAGTACGGACAGTTCGAAGACACAGAAAAGAAAGGTTCTTCTTCTCAAACGTTCTTTCCAGAAACGTTTGAAACGTTTCCGAGGCAACAGCGTTCGTATCGTCATCGTAAATTTCCATTGCAAAAGAGCTGCTTTCATGTCTGTATGTGGTCGTTTCTCTCGCATGGTTGCTTGATTGCAGAAAATGTGCAACATACAGCAACATATGTACATAGAACTGTTATCTTTTTATTATTTATTGTATATCTCTTTGACATATGTCAATATCAAAATATTGCAATTCTTCGTTACTTTGTGTTAATTGTTTTTTCTATGTGTTGTAAATTAACACCATAAAAAATTCTAATGTGTGTCTATGTAGTATTTTATTTTAATCTTTTGTTATTTTTTATGTAATTACTATAATATTTTGAAACAAGAATAAAAACACGAAAATTTCTTTTCTTTTTATTTCATCTTTTTGTTTGTAATTTTTTAAAAGATCTTTAAATATATGTGATTCCGTTAAAGTGTATGTACATACCATACATATAGACGAGTAAGGTCAAAAACTTGCGCCATCAACTTGATCGAATAGCTATTTCTATTTTGCGTTTTTTGTGATTTCTTGTGATCGAGCATGGATTTATGATAACAATTCGTACATGTTTAAAAGCATAGCCATGCGACACGTCGCGCCGTTGCGTTGTCAACCTGCCAGCGCATTCCTACACGGGACCAATGGAGTTACCAGTTTGTAGCGAGATCGTTGGTTCGGAAAATTATACATATCAGCCTTTTTTGAAATTCAATCGCTTCCACGCTATACGTATCCGTAAGAAAGCAATGCTTTCGAATGACGTGAGATGGAAAGAACATTAATTTTATTTCATTTTATTTCATTTATTTTATTGCAACAGCAAAAGGTGAGGTGATGATTCATGATACAATATAATTGAGTTAAGTGAATTAAAATCCTCCATTTACGAATTAAATCACACGTAAAGATAGCGAATTGGCGACTGAATATGCGAGTATATCGATATATGCTCCTTCTTTTTGTTTTCTTCTATAAGATAATTTTTATAAAATTGATCTACTAATTATACGATATATCTTTCTCTATAAAATTATTGTCTCTACAAGTTTCTTGCAAAATTAAATTTAACTTTATACAGGGTGTCCCAAAAAGGTCGGGACACCTAAATATCTCGGGAAATATAAGTTTTACAGAAAAGTGTTTCAGACAAAAGTTATATGGTTTAAAAATATCTATTTACGGATTCTATCAGTTTGACCTTGGGTTGCGTAGCCAAGGTCAGGTCAAGGTTACATTGATTTTCTTAAATGGAACACCCTATTTTTGATTCAAGAATCTAATAGCTGATGTCGAGAGCTTTCCAAAATGTTATAATGAAATATTTTTTCATGAAGCACTTTTCAAGTTATAATGCTTCAAAGTTACAGTATCGCCGGCACTAGCATTACCCAAGATATGTAATACCACCTACGTTATGTTTTTGTTTGTGCGTTAACTGAAGGTCAAGATTCACGGACCACCAACCGATTTCGCCTTGACTGGCCAGTCTCTAAAATTAAATATTTTGGATAATGCTAATGCCGATGATACTGTAACTTTGAAGCATTATAACTTGAAAAGTATTTCATGAAAAAATATTTCATTATAGCGTTTTAGAAAGCTCTCGACATCAGCTATTAGATTCTTGAATTAAAAATAGGGTGTTCCATTTAAGAAAATCAATGTAACCTTGACCTGACCTTGGCTACGCAACCCAAGGTCAAACTGATAGGATCAGTAAATAGATATCAGTAAATAGATATTTTTAAAATATAACTTTTGTCTGAAACACTTTTCTGTAAAACTTATATTTCCCGAGATATTTAGGTGTCCCGACCTTTTTGGGACACCCTGTATATTTGCAAGCACATGATTCGTAGAATGAGAACATGACCGTCCAAAATAATTACGCGTAACAATTCGTACGATTAACGAAATATTATTTTGATTACTCGATTGAACCATTTGAGCATGGTACAACGACGCGAACAATATCTAACACATTATTCTAATCCGAGTACAACGCAAATGTGGTCGCTATCGTTTCACATGCACGTAAATGCATTGCGGTTAACCATCGCGAAAGAAATTCCGTCGAAAGCATAATGTAATATTCACAGGTAGTCAAACAGTTGAATAACAATGATACAATCAACTAAATAATTGTGTTAATACTATTAATACCATAAGCATCTGCAAAGATAGGCCACCAAATTTTAACACAATTTTTTTAACTTCTCTCAATAGTGATAACTCAAAGAATCATAGTATTGAGATGAATAATACCTCAAATTAAAATTTGAATATCTCTTGACAACCAAGAAAATAAGAGTTGAGTTACAAAAAATGTATTACAAATTAACGGATATTGTTTAAAGATAGACTTAGAAAAATGGGGAAAAAATTTTTGTCAAACTATTATTGCATTCAAAAAAATCAGTTGCTGAATCAAAAAAATTATGAATTTTTAAATATTAATTTAAAAACTTATTATTAACTTATTTATTTCCTTACAAATCTATATTTGAAATATATATTATTATTTTTTTCATAAAGTTTACATTGATCGTTTTGAAAATTACAAAACAGCATTTTTTTAAAATCTGTATTTCAGAAATGAATTATCGTAGGAAACTTTATTAAAAGGAAAATTAATGTGTAAACTTTAAATATTAAAACTTTTATTTTTCCAACGATAAGGTGTAACGGATGTATGCTCTTTTAAAATGGAAACCATTTACCGATAATAAATATTAGTTTAGACAAGTGCAAAGATTAAACAAGTAATCCTAATGAAACAATCCATACAGAACATGTTTTTATCTTAAATTCCGTTTTTAAAACACACTGTCCTATAATAATTTTTTAAAAAGTTATTCAATTTTTTTCTTAAAATTGAATAACTCATATTATCTTATCATGCTGGAAAAATAAAATAGTTTTAAGATTTAAAGTTTATTTTAATTTTCGTTTCGATAAAATTTCTTTCTACAATAGGTAATTTTTCTGAGTTATAGATTTTATTTAAAAAATCCGTCCGTTTTATAACATTTTTTCATAATATAATGTATTTTTTATTTGCATTTGCTTGTAAAATGCTCATGTGCGAAAATAGTCCTGATCATATTTCTATCCTCTATTTGATGATTTCACGACGAAAACGTAACTTTCTCAATGCATGTAGCACAGTAACGATATATCGCTCTCGGCGAACTCTTCTGGGCCAGACCGCTGCCTCGTTTGATCAAGATTCAATTCCTATGCATTAAGAGAGAGAATATCGCAAAGGAAAGTCGCGTCTCATCTTCGCCGCGCTGAACGATTCGCGAACACTCGGAATTGCATAATTTCCTCCCGCGGAGCTGGCGTACTCATTTCCGTCCCTCGCTTCCTTCCCCCTTCGTTCAATTTATAGCCATTTTCTGCGGGCACGATGCGGCGAGATAAATCTATCTTTGGCATCGCCGAGCCGAGCCGAGGCGTGGTAAAAAGGTAAAAAGGTGTCAGGGTAAAAGAGTAAATCCTCCCTCTATTCCTTTTGTCCTTCTGCTCTTCTCACCTGCATCTTTCTCTGTTTTATCATCTCTCTTTCTGTATCTCTCTTTCTCTACCTCCTCTCCCTGTCCTTGTTCTTTCCTCTCGGACAAGAATCGTTCGCTCGTGCAAATCAGCTCAGACTACGACCTTGCTCCAGTAACCTCTTGACCTAACGGAGGCCGCGGTCTCCGCAATATGGCGTACGCGCTCTGCGCAACGAATAAAGCTCGTATCCTGAAAAGGAGAGGGAAGCAAATAGCGAACTACAGGAACCAATCGTTGTGACGGAGTAGGAGGAATAGGAATTCCTCGATTTCCTCACGAATCGACTCGCGCTTGGCTGTCATTTCCCGTCATTTCCGATTCCGAGACACTGCAACCGAGTATGACACGTAACGACACGATGCACTTGTACTCTCTGACATGATCTCAGGGATAGAACTCTTTCCATTTCTTTCGTGATGCATGTTGAAATGCACGTGCGATCGTTCTTTACTCTGCGAAATTATTCAGATATAATTCTGCGGATACGTATAAAATTGTTTATTCATTCGTTTGTTTATGACGCCCTTTGTCCTCGAAGCGAACGAAACCAATCGACTTAATTAATTGGCATGTGTGTGTGGATTCATGCACTCGCGATCAAACATAGAAATATGACGGTTGATAAAAAATGCGCTACCATAATGATTTGTAATAAACTGTGCGAGTAACGGACTGTTTATTTTATAATATTAATTATAATATTATTATATGTACTTAATTGTTGTGTTAATTCAGTTTTTTGTTTAATTAGGGATATATATATATATTTAATTTTGTTATTTCTTTGCGTTAGATATATAATAATATTTCTTTTGATTTATAGTTTATCCCAAAATGGCAGTCTCAGGTTGACCATTTATTTTATAACGTAAAAATTTAATTAAAATATCTTTTAATAAAAAATAGAAACCATGCATAGATCATTTATATGAACAATTAATAAAAAGGCGTACGGGGAGAATGTAATGTTACATATAAATTGAAGTTCTAGACAATCTAACAATAAGTTAGGCTAATAACTCGTATTTATATTCGAATAAGATGCATTATGAATTGCTCGAGCATTTTTATCTAAAAGCAGAATGGCTTAATTGAACGAAACCTTTTTTCACCACCTGAAAATTATTATATAGGACAAATTTATTTGAGACTCATTTGAGCGGCGGAATTTCCTCTGCTTTTGGCGCGACGAATAATTAATCGAGCGATATGGTTGGGATTTCGTCGGTGTCGCGATCATTTGAATTTCTAATTTGCGGCTTTGGTCCACAAAGAGAATCACGAGGAGATTGAGCCATATTTTCTGACATATGCGCGCTAATGAATATACCCGCGTTTCCTTGCTTTTTTCCTAATCTTTATCTTTATTTGTTTTTCACTCTATTTGGATTTTTGACTCTATTTGATTTTATTTTAATTATTTTTATATTTTATATTTTATTTTAATTATTTTTATATTTTTATATTTAGGGTAAGTCGGGAGAGATGCTATGTCGGGTAAGATGCCATTTGTTAATAATTTCCATGTTTATCCTTAGATAGCGTTAGTGATGCGCTCGGTTTGTTCATTTGTAAACCAGCAACGATATGACACTCGCTGTTCGTGTTTATTTTTAAAGATTGTGAATTTATCGAGGTAAGTTGAAAAAGTACTGTTCTGATCACATTTTACACAATATTTAGAATTCACATTAATCCTTTGTAGACTTTATTTCATAAATACGCAGTGGACTACATTGAAGTTTAGTATCAAATGAATTTTCTAACCTCTTAAATTATTTTTGATAGCACATGTTTGATATAGAAATTTCTGATAATATTTTTTCTAGTCGTGTTGGGACAAGATGCTACTTTTTTGTTGGTGTAAGATGACACAATCCAGTGAGAAAAGACAATGGAATCGACATCGAATCATCAAATCAACGTCGAATTAGCCCCTCAATGTAAAGATGTTTTTAATTTAAAAAAAAAATAATTCTTTATTTTTAGAATAATTAATCTCTATTGTTGAGAAGAATAGTTGTTGATAAAAATTTTTATTCTTACAGATCATATATTGTGTTTTATTTAGTTGCGATGTTAGGGCATCTTACCCGAGGTCTCGTGGCATCTTATCCAACAGGTTGGGTAAGATGCCACTTTTTGTAAGGTTTTTGTTTATTTATTGCGACGTAAAAGTCTTATGAGATACATTTATGTAACTAAATCATAATAAATAAAACTAATCAAACTTTTCATTGGTTTTATATTCTTTTATGTATCGATAATGGTTAAAAATATATCGCGATCCAAAGTTAACTATGGTATCTTCACCCGACTTACCCTATAGGGGAATGTCGTACCATTTTTTGTTTTTCATAATATTTCTTAAACAAGAGCTAAAAGTAAAGTTTTAGAAATATAAATATAAACTAGAAAGTGTTTTCAAAAAGATGTATAATTTTTATGGTACTGCAATTTTGCAATAATTATCTTTTTCGTAAGATAATTGTCTTACAGGCCCCAAAACTGACACAGTATGCAGCAATGCCACATATTTCTGTTCTTTTTCTTTTAGAGAAGTCCTCTGTACAAAATTGTTAGCATATCTTAACACAGGTAACGAAAAAATGAAAGAAACTTTTATTTTTTGTTTGTCAATAAGAAAGCTATTTTTCTTACGGAGTTTCTAACGGGATGTTATATTCATTCCTGTCCGGAAATCATGTTGGAGGAAAAAATACATCATTATCCCTGTAGCCTTATCACGCACGATAGATCAAGGGTGCCTCGTACTTTCTCTGCATCGACTTGCGTAAGCTAGCGCAACTATATAACGGTGGTTTTTATTATTGACGCTTTCGTGACATTCGTGCTCTATTGGATGAGAAGCGTTACATCGGGTGGATGCTTCCTAAGAATCGGCCTTGCGACAAAAACGATCAACCTTTCGACGATGGACACCCTTTCATTAGGAGACGCTTTAAGGACGCGTATCGATATTCGTCTTTCCGACAGCACCTTTGTGAAACACATGATTGCTGGAAAAACGAAACTGATTGCGTGGAAATGTGATTTTTCTGCACGAGCATTCGTTTCGTGACTCGAGATCACGAGATATTAACTTTCTAAGTTTCCGTAGAACAAATGTCGATTGTAAGAATAATCAACAATTACTTTTATATTAGTAATGATACAATTTTATTTGGTGATTAATTGTTTGTATTCTTCGAAATTAATTTTATTAAAATATACATAAAAAAAACTTCACACATGTAACTTTTTATACGCTGGCTGATTTACAGTATATAGATTTTCGCTTGGTCGCTTATATCAGTATGCATAATTTCTTATAAAAAATACATACACACATATGCTTAAGGATAGACTGCACAGAATTATAACGAGATAAAAATAAAAAAAAATACATTTTTCTAACGATCCCGTTTACTACGTAACCTGCTGGAAATGATCCGCTCAAACAGCACGCGTACATGTACACGCGCGTATATATGTATTGTGCGCAACCTTTCTCTCTCTCTCTCTCTCTCTCTCTCTCTCTCTCTCTCTCTCTCACTCTCTCACTGTCATTTTATCGCTTTTTATAGGTATATGTTTTTATATAGATCGTGTTAATTATTGGTTGGAGGTGAAGGTGATCGCAAGGGCTGTTATCGATTAGTGGATTGCCATCAAGTGATAAATAATCTGTGAAATGAAATAGATTTATATGCTTCTCATCGGGATGATTTTTTACATTTGGTTGCAAATAGAAATTAATGTTGTCGATATAGTTAACAAGCGTGCTCGCGTAATACGTCTGTATAAAATGCGAGATAGTTTACGGATTATGCAAAAGGTCACGTTACGTAAATTTTTTTTCTTATGCAATTAGATTTTTTTACGTAAGATGTGATGGTCTGCATCTGAAGATATTACGATTTTTGAGGAAGTCAAGGAAGAGATAAATAAGCGGAAAGAGAGATTATAAAAAGCGTTTTGTGTAATTCGACTACATCTGTACTAAATACGATCGAAAATTACAACACTTTTATTTGGCAAAAAGTCTAAAGAGGACAAAAAATTGAAATTTCAATGGCAATAACGTGCTAGTAAATGAGATAATCCACGAATATTTTATCGTGCGACTTATCTGCGTGTAATTGAGTTGTAACTTAATTGTATCTACAATATCGAATGCAACTTTAGTCTACTCAGCTATGAAATGTGTGTCGCTGAAATTTATTGACCAATTTACGTATTTTATGAATGCAATTGTAAAACCACGTTTTCTGAGAACAATTATCTACGTAACACATTCAAAGAATGATTATAATATTTATCGTTATCTCGAGCTTGAGGCAATTTAGATATAATATTTCCTTAGTCGCACATGAACATAAAATCAAAAATATTTCTCTCTCTCTCTCTCTCTCTCTCTCTCTCTCTCTCTCTCGGTCATGCTAATTTATTGATTTTCTGAATATTTCTAATGATTTTTACTTATTAATTTATTAAAGTATTGATGATTTAATTATGTTTTTTTGTAAGAATTAAGATGAATAATTTATTATGCTAAAGTAATATAAAATAGAAGTAAAGTTATATTAATAGCTATATGTATATTGATTTGTTATATATATCATTAATTTACTTCAAAATACGTTGAAATCATAGGTACAGAAGGTTTATTGTGTATTCTGTCCGACATACGATGCGATTAATGCGTTTGCTGTCACTGAAAAAGTTAATTAGCTATATAAATCTTATAAACAAAATTACATATAAAATGTCCATGCACGTACTCCTTACAAATTTATGATCGATTTATTAAAAGACTGACGTCGTAGGATCGTGAAGTCTCAGTAGTGTTGCGGTGTTAATCCGCTGGCTATAGCTCAGCAAGAAAAAAAATTAAATATTCATTCAGACGAATATTTCTAAATGTATATGTGTTTTCTGAAGTTATTTCTTCGTCGATGATTATCTTCCATGTAGCTCGTAAGCGAGTGAAACTCTTTAGCATACCGCTAGCGGAAAATTTGACTCTGTCAAGTAACCTACTTTTTCCGCAAATGCAAAAAACGGAAAGCTTCCAAGTATTTGTTCGTCGATTTGCATGGTTTTTCGTGCTACTCGTACGATTTATGCACTTGTCGTTTCCGACACTTCAAACTCTCGTCTTTTATGTCTGTTAAGCCATTAGAGTGTATATAAGCTATCACTGAGGAACCGATTAACAATTGTAATTAACGATCAGTATTTATATGATCTAGGAAATTTGTAAATTTAAAAAAAGAATACTGATATATATATATATATGAATATAAGAAGTATAAATCTTTTTATTGCACATGAATTTAGAAGCGGTATATTTGTCTTCTTAATTATAATCAATGTAATATTTTACAAAAATTATATATTATAAATTTTTTAAATTGGAAAATACAAAATAATCGATAAATATTCGATATATTCTATCATTATATATTTTTGTTGTTGTTCCGATATTGTTCATTATATCAGGACACGCCATTTTGAGCTATTTTAATCAAATGGCCATCAAATATTACACAGGGAATCGATTCCGCAGTGTACGTAAGGAGGTAACGGGAAATGATCCTCAAAATGAGTCTATCGTCGATAAATGTAATTTTCTTGTGCCTCTTAGTGAATTAGCTCTCTGGGAGAACTCGTTGAGAAACCTTATTACGAAATTCAATTCTATCATGTTGTCCGGCGATCGAACGTTTCAGGCAAATCTGCGCAATTAACATTATGTTACACGAAATTATATTCGAATGTTTTTATAATTTTATACAAATGTAATTAATTGCGGCAATGAAAGAAAACAGCAACTCGCATTATCTAAATTACATTATCTAAATTACTTTTATTAGTTCTCTTGAATTTATTAATGTATTATGTATACACATTTAAATAAATATTCTTTTATTACAGATTTCCAAAAACTCGAGCGTGAGGCGCGGATATGTAGAAAACTACAACATCCAAATATTGGTAAGTAAATATTATTTTTATCAATTTTATCGTGATATATTAAAGATATATTAAAGATGACAAAAAGCTATAACTGTCTCACCCCCCGTCGCATGTTAATTTTCCACCATTCTCGAATATATGTTATTAGAAGATAATTAATTGAATTACTAATCGATATTGACGGTGAGTCTTGGAACTTAATCTGAGTAGGCGTTCCAAAGTGAAATGATGAATAATCTGCACGTGACACGATCGTGGTATAAGTACGTGGCCTGCATCGCGAGTAGATATCGCCCACTTTAGTCAGACATGCATCCTCTGCATTGCTTATCTCCGACAATAAATTACAACGATTGCGTAAAAATTAAGTATTTTCATCGCGAAAGAACATTTAATACAATATTATAAATTGATTGAAACAATCAGTACTAATTTTATTTTAAACTTTATTTAAATATATTTAGATTGTATTATTAAAACTTTGTGACATTTTCTATAAATTGTTTGCTGTGTTTCTCAGGCGATATATATCATTGAATTGCTGTTGCTATTTTTAACACAGTTTTTTATAACAATTATATTGTATCGTGCCGATAAATATCACAGAAATCAAATGTAGGCGACACGCAATATTGGAATTCAATAAAATAAAAGAGAGAAATGCATAAGCGAAACGACGAATGAAGGAGATGACTTAGTTTTTTTATACGTTTCAATATCTCTGATGTTCTTCATTCTTTATGTTTCGGTCATCATTTGTATCACTGGGTATTTCTTTTAAAATTGATAACATTTAGGAAAAATCTTCCTTCTGAGAGATTGTAGTATTACATTATGTCAGTTTTTTCATTTATTATCTCGAAGAAAAATAAATACTTAAAAAAATGTATACATGTATAAATATTGTATTACAAAAAATATTGCAAACACCATTTTTTAGCGAACGTAAATTTTATAATTCAAAAGAGAGAAAAGTGTATATACATATATCTATGTAAAAGTGTTATTTAATAGAATAGCGGTTTTAATTAAATATTTATATATTAAAATTTAAATAAAACTTATTCTTATTCTTCATAAAGAACGAAAAATGTTGGTGCGCATAAAGCTATTATTGTGACAAGTTTTCTTAAGCAAATATTTGTTTTATCTTTATTCTAATATTTTTATTTACGAAAATTGCGTATTCTTCTTCTGTCTTCTGTCTTCTTCTGAGCTTTTGTAACATGTTATGTATCTACTTGTATATGAAGGAATCGTTGATCGATCGATACTTATCGAGAGAATAGAAAATATTTATATCCTAGATGATGGAATAAATGTAGAGAGGGCGGTCAGATTACATTTGGGATTATGGGATCTACACGCATATTCTCAGCTGTTAATAACATAGAAGCCCGTTAACCATCTCTTGGTAAACTCTAATTTCCCGATTAACTTGTTTGGAAAAAAAACTGCAAGAATTTCTGATGACTTTTTTTCACTTTTTTGACACGTATGCGATATCCGCATTGTTTTCCATGTAAAGGCATGATTAATGTAAAGAAAATTATCAGTAGCATATAATTAAATTATCAATAACATATAACATTTAATTTGTAAGTGTCGTATCAATTTTATAAATATTTTTTTTGCGAATTTTGCACAGAATTTGAACTCTTTTTATATTTAATTTGATATTATCTTAATTAAATTATTATATAATACCCTTAATACACGCACGCATGCGCGCACACACATGTACGAAATCGCATATTGCTGAATATTTGTTAAAAATAATCAGTATAAAATAAATTGAGTTTAATTTCAAATCTTAAGAGATTAATTGTATTAGTAATAATTGAAAGGAATTAAATTCATTTAATTTATTTATAATATATGTATAAGTCACGATTTCATTTCATTTGACAATTGTCGAAAAGTATGTAGGCTTTGTTTAAAACCAGATTTCTAATCTCTCACTAAGTTATACTAAGCGTGATACTTAAATAGCGTTTCAAAATAGTGTAAAAAGTTAAACGCCGTTTCAGAGCTGTTCCATTCGTGAATAAACCGTCGCTGCACACAATGTTGCATGTATAGTGTAATCTAGATAAAATGTAAATCGCGTCCCGTTCTGTTCGCGCTCGTTCTCGTATATTTGATGCATAATGTTGGGAATGCAATTAATCTCATATCTCTCGTCATTATACTTTTGACTCATGAATTACCCCCTGTTTTTATAATCATTTTAATATGTATGTATATGTGTGTATATTTATATATATATGCGTGAATATATATATATAAATATATATATAAAATTCTTGATGAGTCAATTGTTCCAGTCGATGTCATTTGATACGCTTTATTGAATTACGTTGATTCTATTATAGTAGCAGCATGAAGATTATATCATCTGGTTTATTCAAATCCTTGTTATTGATTGAGCACATGTAAGGCTACGAGAATTATAACGAAAATATGTTATAATTTTAACTTGAACAATTTGTCTAAAACGACTAACTCATTTACGTTTACAACTAACTCATTTTACGTTTTACCACTGTAACTCATTTTAACTTACATATATTGTATACGGTCATCTAGAATTTTTGCAATTTTGAAATTTTCTACAGATTTTAGGATAATAACTACCACACATTTCTAGAAATTCTTTGGTATAACTTATTTCAAAGTTACATATACTTGTCTTTTTATTTTATCATAGATCAGAGTAGAAACACGAATTAGGTTTGGCATGCTCTTGCAGCTCGCGGAGGCTTCCGTGTAATTCGATTTTCCGCGGATTACATGACTAGCGTCTCAAGACGTTATAGGAAGGAAGATGCTATAGTATTCGATGATACATTGTATAAAAATGTACTCTGCTATTCTTGTCATCGTAAACTTTAAATTTTGCATAATAGCGTATAAATATTTCTCATTATAAATAATGTTATAAAGAAGTTTTTATTAGTCAAGATTGAATAACAAAACCGATAGATGTACATAATTTTGACTTTGATTAAGGTTGATTAAGGAAATGATTTCCACATTAAACATTAATGTCTTGTATATTTTTTAATGATTTTCCTTTCAATGCAAAGTTTGATTAGATTCCATTTTTTCAATAACTTTGGGATTTTCATTGCTAGATATCCTGATAACAAAGTTAAGATCTGGTTAAAACAGGGTGAACCTAGAATTAACTGAAGAACAAACTTTCGTTGTCTGTTTGTCAAACTTGAGCTCGGCAGAATCCTTTAATTTTCAATGTTAAATAACCTCGTGTAACTATGTTGAAGTTAAAGTTTAAATTCTCGTATAGTGAAAGTATAGATTTCAAATTTGCTGAAGAATACACTGCTAAAGCTCGGTGAAGATTTTATATACATTTGTGTGTAATATCTTTTCCCTATAATACCTGTTATATATTTTATATTTTATCTCTCCCATCACACATCACTTCACATTATATATACCGTGTGTCGAAAGGTTAAACTTATAAATAAATTATAAAACGATTCGCGCGTATGATACAGCGCAGTATGGCTAATTGATGATTACTTTAGTTAGATGCACGCAAGGACTATACTAACAAAGAAAAGGGAAACAAAAAATATAACTATATAAGTAATCTTTCGTCGACAAGGTCGACGAAAAATCGGTACGTTTATTTCAATCGCATTTTTTTTTTATTATTATTGCATTATTATTGTACTTGAAGTCTACAAAGATTTACCCCTGTGAAGCTAGCCCCCCATTATTAAAAATAATAATTTTTTTTGAGAATTCTAAATAGATTTCCAATAGTTCCAGAGTTCCTGATAGGTTTAAGAAATAGTTTTGGCCATTATATAATATATATAAAGCCATCCATTAATTGTATTTTACAGAATTTAAAATGCTGTAATTCATATTTTAACATCAAATTAACATTATTTGTTTGTTAGATATTTTAGATAAAAAGCATTCAATTATTCTGAGTATTGAAGAGTTTTGACAGTTCTGTCAAGAGTTCTGGATATTCCCCTCCCCCCAGAGTTTTGTCGAAAATTCTAATGACGAAAATCCATAGAATTTAAACTGAAAAAGTTACGAGCGATTATAGGTGTCCATTTTCTAATTTAGAAGAGCAAAAAAATTGTTTTGAAGAGTTCTTTCGAGAGTTCTAGGTAACCCCCGCAGAGTTCTATAAAATATCTTAATGAGAAAATTATGTAAAAATAATACTTTCAAAGAGTTATGGCTGTTTTTTAGGTGTCAATTTCGGGTTTTTCAATGACGTTTTTTCTTACTTTCTCTCGAACAGAACTATTTCTTAAACCTATCAGGAACTCTGGAACTATTCAAAATCTATCCAGAACTCTAAAAAAAATAATTTTTTTGAAAATGGGGAGCTGCGTGAAGTTAGCCCCCATTTTTTAAATCGCGTTTTTGGCTTTAATGGCCAAAACTATTTCTTCAACCTATCAGGAACTCTAGAACTATTGGAAATCTATTCAGAACTCTCAAAAAAAATTATTATTTTTAATAATGGGGGGCTAGCTTCACAGAGGTAAAGATTTAGGTATATTTATCATTTTATATTTATCATGACATTTTTTCATATCACTTTTATTAAGCAGTTTGTTTCATAAACTGAATGAGCGGCGTGCTTCATCGAACGTTTCCCATTTTACACTGATCGAACATACATTACATCTCTAATTCCAATTCTCATATAATCTAATAAGTAAAACGCGTGTATTACGAGGGTAAGTCAATAAGTTCTTAGAAAATGTGTTAGAGGGCACTCGCAGTGTCATGTCACATTACTTTTTGACAAGTAGCATCTTTCAGCTGATTACTGTCAAATTTTGAGCAGAATTCATCACGTGGTTTCATTTCTCTCTGTAGATGATTAAAACGAATAACCTTTGTATATTTTGCAAAATGGAAAAAAACGAGTTTCGTGCAGTGATCAAACATCTACATATGAAAGGTTTAACGCCGAAAGAAATCAAAGCCGAGTTGGATAATGTTCACATAATGTA